GACGAGCCCCAGCTTGGTCCACTGCTGCACCGAGGACATGAGGAACATGAGCAGCCTCCACCATCTCCTACCAAACCAGATGCTCTGGTTCCTCAGTCCTCCTGTCACCGCAGGGTGTGGGGCATCTCCGAGTGCAAACTCCAAGGAGAGCAGTTGTTCAAGACTTGCCCACTTCCCCTGACCTCCCTTATAAGACCAGATGAGTTCAGGAGGGAAATACTCAGCCAGAAACCTTGTTGAAATGATTACAAGACTCAGTGTTAAGAAACTTGAAGCAGGAGGTTCCACCAGACGGCCTCCAGAGCTCCCTTCCAGCCTTGGTTCTTCTATAAGAAACAAAACCAAGAACTGGAAAAACATCTTTTTAAATTGTCCTACCAAGGAGACTTCAACCATGTCTCTGGTTGAAGGTGATGACTCAACCTGCCCCACACCACCCTGTTTTCTAGATCCCTCCCCAGCCTCACAAATAATCCCCTTCTATTCCTCCTTTTGATGCAAATGGAGTATTTCCAGTCATCACCTCCAACACACCACATGATGGCCCAGATCCATCCTCATCTCAGGGTTGTTAGGGTCAAGGCTCAGAAACACCAACCGCCCCACGCAAAGATGACCCCAAATAATTGCCCCCCCCCCGATATTGCCCATATTGGCCCCATCTCAGGGTCCCTCCTTGGCTGCCCATGGACAGTAAGGCTCATACGCAGCCCTGGGTGCTGAGAGATCAGTGGTCCCAGGAGGGATCTCCAACACCCTGGAGCCCCACAAGTGCTTGAGCAGTGCCCAGCAGGTCTGGCCTTGCCAAAATCAGCCCTTGAAGGTCATCCCGTCCCTGGACTGCCCCATCCCTGGAAACATTCAAGGTCAGGTTGGACGGGGCTCTGAGCAACCTGATCGAGTTGAAGATGCCCCTGCTTATTGCAAGGGCGTTGGACTAGATGACCATTAAAGGTTCCCTCCAACCAAAACCGTTTTATGATTCTATGATCCCTATAGCAAGGGGCTGCAGCAGTGCTCTTCATCGAGGAAGACTGAAATAAAGCAGTTTGACCCTCACCTTCCATGGCTAGTGTTTATACACCCACCAGGTCAAAGCCATCTCTTCAGTGGGCAGACAGCCACGCAGCCTCAGAGGCGTCACCAAAAGCAGGGCAGGAGGTGTCTTGAAAGATCATGTAAGCTCAAGATCTGGCTCACTGTCAGTCAAAATTTCACATCTGCTCACCCAGGGCATCCATAGTGGTATATATTTTAATGCTTATAAGCAAAAGGTAAGGGTGAAATAAAAAAAGCTTTGTTCACAGGGTCACTGAGAGTCAGCAACTGTCTGACCTCTGCCGAGTGGCTTCCTATTCATGCCTCAGGTATAAAGAGGCATGGTACTTACTGCTTTCTTCTGCAGAAGTTTTCATGTCTTCAGATATTTTAAGCCCAAGAAATGCCTGGTTTGTCTGCACTGTAACGCTCCCTGCCTGAAGCAGCTTTCCTACGTTTTAAGACTTGGACAGGTATAGAACAAGTATATTGTATAAAAATATGTAATTTTTCAGCTTGTGCCTGGAACTTGCTCGTGGTCAGAAACCAACACTAAAACGCAGAGACACCCTGAATGCTGAGGAGCTTGAGGCACAAACGCCTGAACTGGCTCTGCCCTTTGCAGCTGCTATTGCCGCAATCAAAAATCAATTTTTAATTTGCACAGCTCATGTTTGGCTTATCTGTCCTGGGCCTGAGATCATCAGCCACTTCTGGAGACGAAATCTCTGCATCCCTGGAAGCTTTTCTGCATATTGGCATAAGCAAGCCCACCTTCTTCATCCGTGCTTTGCTATAGAAATCAGAGCTGGATAAAACCCCCTCTGGTCATCCAGCTATGGGCCATCCCCAGGGACGTGGAGCAAACACCCCATCACAGCATCCCTGGTAGGTACCTCCAGCAGCGTGCAGAGCCTGCATGCCAGCCTGTGCTTTACCCACTTCCACACCCATTCCACATGGATTTAACCATTTGCTGGCACTACACTGATGTTTCTGCAGCTTCCCATCTGCCCCATCCCTGCTGGAAGTGTCGCACCTACCAAGCTGAACCACATCTCCCCTTCCCTTCAGTTAGCTGCAGCAAAGACCATCCCATTTCTGGTGGGAATAAAGTTGTTTTTTGCAGGCAGACCTCCCTTGTGGCAAGAGCTGCGAGGTTGCATGGCAGTGATAGACCACACTGCAGCATCCTCAACCCCTCCAAGTGTTTCTCGACATTCGGAAATCTCTCCCTTAATGGCCTCCAATGACCTTGAGGTCTCAGCAAAGCTTCCCAGGTTTTCCAGCATGCCCAGTCCAGCTGTCAACAATGGAATGTGATTTTTTTTCCAGCCGGGACACAGGCGTCAAGAGGCTTTAGTGTGCTTCCACTGGAGTGGGACACTGCCACGGTTTGGCTGAGCTGAAGGGACAGAACTGTTGTGTCACCTCCAGGGATGCAGGTGAAAACTGTCCACTGAGCAGGAATATCTGCTCCCTCTAGTGGCATCTGGGTTTTTTTAATTTTTATTTTATTTTTAAAGCTAGGAGACCCGGTATTCGCTCTCTGCCAGCCCCCGGCAAGGCCAAGACTACGAATTGCTGGGGCTGAAAGGACACGCAACCCTCCAGCAGCCAGAAACAAATCCACCCCATGGCTGGCTTTCTCTTCTCCGCTAGCAGAAGGTTTCCACGGGTTAAGCCTTTCTATTTGAGAGCCGAGGTGCAGTTGTCCCTCCTCCCACCCTACCCAGCAGCTTTGCATCCCATAATACACCTGCCTAGCCCAAGCACTGGAAAAGGAGAGAGAACGTGTGGGTGGAGGACATGAAGGATTAGTGACCTGCAGTGTCCATGCTAGCTTCGGCGGTCCAGCATGCAAGTGCTATGGGGAAGGGACCTTCCCCCAGGAACCCACTGATCCTGCATGTGTTCCTGCAGCAAAGCCCAGGGAGATTAAAACCTATCCACTCGATCCCTATTAACCCTTCATACTGCTTTGGGAACAAGCTTCGGCTTCACCAAGCGTATCCTGGGCTGCATCCAGAGCAGCGTGGCCAGCAGGTCCAGGGAGGGGATTCTCCCCCTCTGCTCCGCTCTGGTGAGACCCCCCTGGAGCACTGCGTCCAGCTCTGGGGTCCCCAGCACGAGACAGACATGGACCTGTTGGAGCAGGTCCAGAGGAGGGACACGGGAATGGTCCGAGGGCTGGAACACCTCTGCTATGGAGAAAGGCTGAGGAGTTGGGGTCGTTCAGCCTGGAGAAGAGAAGGCTCCGGGGAGACCTTATTGTGGCCTTTCTATACTTAATAGGGGGCTTATAAGAAAGATGTAGAGACTTTTTAGCAGGGCCTGTAGCGATAGGACAAGGGGTAATGGTTTTAAACTGAAAGAGTGGAGATTCAGACTACACATAAGGAAGAAATTTTTTACAACGAGGGTGGTGAAACACTGGCCCAGGTTGCTCAGAGAGGTGGTCGATGCCCCATCCCTGGAAACATTCCAGGTCAGGTTGGATGGGGCTCTGAGCAACCTGATTTGCTTGAAGATGTCCCTGTCCTAGATGTCCCATCTAGTCCAACTCCCCTGCCATGAGCAGGGACATCTTCAACTAGATCAGGTTGCTCAGAGCCCTGTCCACCCTAACCTGGAATGTTTCCAGGGATGGGGCATCGACCACCTCTCTGGGCAACCTGGGCCAGCGTCTCACCACCCTCATCGTAAAAAATTTCTTCCTTATATCTCATCTGAATCTCCCCTCTTTTAGTTTAAAACCATTACCCCTCGTCCTATTGAAGCTCAGGGCTCGGTATTTTTGGGGATGGGCAAGCAAAGACTGACTTAAATAGCTGACAGCGTACCCTGAACAGACCCAGCTAGACCTGGCCACCGCGGGCAGCCGTGTCCGCCTGCAGTGAACGACAGCCAGCTCACCCAGCATCCTTGTGACTGAAGACCAAAACTATCTACCTCTCCAAACAGCACCTGCCTTGCGAGGAAAGATGCCATCCCCACACTCAGCGATTTTATCAGAGGATCTTCCAAGAGCTTAGGGAGATGAAGCCTCCCCTCACGGGATAGACGCGCAGAGGCAAGGCTGCGTCTGAGGTCCCACATGAAAGCACTTGCTGAGCTGGGAGATCCTGTTCCTGTCCTGCGTGGCCGTGAGATCACCCGGCCGCAGTTTCTGTGCGCCAGCTGTAAGGAAGCAGAACTAGTTGCGAGCAGAAATTGCACTGCCGATCGCTCGCCAGTGACACTCTTGGGTTATTAACATTGTAAGAGGCGTCGTTTAAGGGGATACAAATATATTAAGTAATGAACTGTCTGATTTGCAGCTTGCAAACCATAAAAGCACGGAACAAAGCACACAGAGCAGTGACGCAGACGTCTCAGTACGTTGCCCATATGCAGCTGGACCTTAGAAACTGAGCACTAACTCACTGCTCAGTTTGAAGCTTCTCCTTCACAAGAGAAATCCACTCTGCTTGCTGCTCCATAGACCAGTGAGACAACCTATGGTTGCAGCATGAATCATCCTGCCTTGTTAGGGAGATCTTATCCAGGGAAATTATTTAAAACCACACCATTCTCTAAAACCATGTATTTCAGAGGACAAGAAATTATTTCTCTAATGTACCTTTCTGGAGGTAACATCTAAGTTGCCCCTAACAAGGAGAAGGACCTTTCACAGATGTTTTTACCTCTTCTTCCTGTAAGTGGTTGTTTTATGGAGGAGCAAACCCGCTCTCTAAGACTTGGAGCAGAGACCCATGAGAAATCTAGCTAGAGGAGCCATCCACAAAATATCTCTGCACAAGAGAGAGAAAGAGCTGCAGGACAAGGGCTCTGCTCTCTGCTCTTCCACAGCACTGGGAGACCATCAGGTTATCTGAACTCACAATTTTATTGCCCCAACCCATCACCGAGCTCAGTCGCACACGCCTGTGATGTGCCGGCAGAGCCAACCTTGCTTTTACCTTTCTGTTTCTTCTTTCACTACGGCATACTGGGTTGACTGACGGCTCGACCTCTGCTCCTGCACCTTCTCGCTGCCCTCCAGCTCCTGCTCCAGGGAGGAACTGGTGCTGCCCTCCCTGCTGACATTGCTGCTCCTCCCGGGGCTGTTCTCCGTGGAAGCCCTCGGCGACTCCGTGTTCTGCTTCAGGGTCTGCAGCTTGGCCAGAGGGATGATATCACAGTTCTGCGGCCGGTGCCACACTGTCCTCTGTGTGGTGGCATTGTAGTAGTAGAAACGGGAGGTGTTGGGGTCGAAGAGTTCCCACCACTGGTTTTCATTCGTGCGTTTGATCCGCACCCCAGCGGGGGGGTCCCACACACACTCCCCCGTGATGAGGTTGGCGTACATGCGCTCCCGGGTTCGAGGCTCGATGATTTCCACCCATTCCAGCCTGAAGGAGAACAAACAGAGAGAGAGAGAGAGACTTCAGCTAGATGATCTTTAAAGGTCCCTTCTAACCCAAACCATTCTATGATTCGATGATTCAACGCTTGCAGCAAGCGCTCGCAGCATCTGGGGAAGCAGGATGGAGAAGAAGGGCGGCTTGGGTGGGGACAGCAATTCTTTCTTCCTCCCCCCCAACGATTCCGAGTCCTGCAGCACTATTTACACTAAACAGAGTATTTGCAAAGGGCTGTAAACCAGTCCTTGGTTTTCAGCTCCCAGGGGAATTCAGCGAGTCTGCAAGCCAGCTAAAACACATGCTGGGGTTACAGCACCCCAGCGTTCGCCCCAGCTCATGGCTTCCACCCCGAGCCCTCTGCGTTTTACAGTCTGAACTCTTCGGGGCACAGACCTGGCGGGTGCTCGGCGCAACGTCGGCAGCGAAGGGTGGGGGGGGGAGGCAAGAGACCGGAGGGACGGAGCCCAGCCAGAGGCACCAACCTGGTGATGAACTTACTTCTTCTGCAAGACCACCCCACAGCTCTGCGCTGCCGCCCAGACGACCAAGCCCGGCAACATTTGCCCATCCAAGACTTGAAGACGATGGCTTTCAACCCCCTTCAGCCCAGGTGAGGCAGCGCTGCTCCCCGGCACGAACCCCAGTGTGCCGGCGCCGGGCTCCTGTGTGGCTCTGCCAACACCCCTTCCCTCCGTCTCGATTTCGACACCGGGCAAAGGCGCCAGCTCTCCGGCATGCGCGTCCCACCTCCAGCACCTTCCCCAAACCACCCGCCCTGACACACCTCGACTCAGTGATAACCACAGGCTGCATCAACAGCGAAACCCAACGGTGGGAGGGATGGAGTCAGCAAGGACCGAACAGACCCAACTGTGTCCTGGGCTCCATGCAGAGGAATAGAATAGAATAGAATAGAATAGAATAGAATAGGATAGGATAGAATAGAATTGGATTGGATAGGATAGGATAGGATAGGATAGAATGGAATAGAATAGAATAGAATAGAATAGGATGGGACAGGATAGAATAGAATAGGACGGGATAGAATAGAATAGAATAGAATAGAATAGAATAGAATAGAATAGAATACTTTCAGTGGGAAGGGACCTACAGCAATCATCTAGTCCAACTGCCTGACCAATTCAGGGCTGACCAAAAGTTAAATCATATTATTAAGGGCATTGTCCAAATGCCTCTTAAACACTGACAGGCTTGGGGTATCGACCACCTCTCCAGGAAGCCTGTTCCAGTGTTTGACCACCCTCTCAGTAAAGAAATGTTTCCTAATGTACAGTCTAAACTGCCCCCGGTGCAGCTTTGAACCATTCCCACGTGTCATATCACTGGATGCCAGGGAGAAGAGATTAGCTACACGCTGCTCAGTGCCCTCTGTGCACCTTTATTAAATTAGGAGCCGGTCTCATGTTGGTCTCTGCACAAAGCATGGAGCTCATCACTAAAATACGAAGCAGAAAATGTGGTTTAACCTTCCTCCCATCACCCCATCTGCTAGGCTAAGGGCCAGGCACCATCAGCCCAACGCAGTGACCCAGCTCACTCAGAAACACAGCAAAGGGGGTTATTGAAATCATAAAGCAGTAAACGGAGCTTAGAAATGCAAAAGAGGATTAAAAGAAGTCATAATCCCATAGAACAGACAATTTAACCGATTTTTCAGATTACCCCAAACACTGTGGGTGTCACCTTTTGCTAATCTGGGGGATACCCGAGGCTTACAGGCGGCCGCATTTTATTCAAATTTTTCATTTTTGTGTGGGCTTACATAAAAAGATACGAGCGATGTTCATATTAACTAAAATTTCTTACTTGGAATTGTCCTTGTCTGCATTTACAAGCCTGTTAAGAAAGGTATAGAAATAGATAAGGAAAAAAAAAGCTCCCAGCGTGCTAAGCGGAGCTTATCAAACTAGGTGGCATTTAAAACTGACACATTCAGCGAGTCAGACAAGTGACGGATTGTATCTCGCTGCCTTTTACTGGGAGCGAGTCCCCTGTGGGGTTTTCGGAAATGCCCAATTTGCTCAAGCACTTGCAAGAAAAGAAGTCCTTGGGGGGGCACTTACCTGCCCCCCGGCAGCGGGAGATGCTGGCAGCCTGGCCTCAAGCCCTCCGGCTGGTCCAGCTCATCTTCCAACTCAATTTAAATGGCTGGATTGAAAAAAAGGAGAGGGCTTTGTGGGTCCCAGAGGTTCCCAGCTTTGAAAAAACATACCTAAATGATGAAAATGTCTCCATCTCTTCTTGGCACAGAGAGAAAAAGCTGCAGTTAAGCCTTTCCTTGCAGAACAGAGACTAAAAGCACTCCAAGAAGTGTAAATTCTATACCATGCCTCATCTCATTCTGTGAAACTCAGACCTAACGAGCAGCCTTAATACAGCACGACAGTACAGCTGGAGGCCAGCTCAAGCTTTGCAGAGTTAAATATTTTCTCCAGGTTTCCACTGAAGGCTTTAATTCAGGTCTGAGCCTGATGCAGCGACCCAGCATTTTCTGTTGAAATTATTTTGGCCCTAGATCGACGTCAGCACTTGACTCCCAGTTTTAATGCTTCTCTTTGACCACCTTGGTTTAAAATAGCCTCCACGGGGTTAAGGTCAGCTGCTTCAGCAGGGCTTTGGATCTTCCTACCAAGAAGATATTGAGCTATCTGCATCAGGGAGGAATAAAAAGTCCATCATCCAGGGCTCCTCTAGGGTGAAACGAGAGCTCAAGGGCTCCACATTTAACACAGGGAAGCAAAAATAGAGTAGACTGGACTAGACTAGGATAGCCTAGCCTAGCCTAGCCTAGCCTAGACTAAATAGGATAGGATAGGATAGGATAGGATAAAAATAGCCCCATGGAGCTTGAAAAAGATGAAGGTCTGTTTGGACCCAACAGAACTGGATCATCACGGGCTATGAACCAGCCAAGGTAAAAGCCTGCAGCACCTCCAAAGAAAAAGTGTGTTAAGGAAATGTAGGACCTTTTGTCCTAGAGCCCTTAATTTCCTCTTGGTTTTCACTGTGAATTATCAGCTTAATAACGCTGGGCAGTGTCTGGGCTACAGGTCCTCTCTCTCTGCATCATTATTCTCCCTGCTGTTGGAGAAGAAGAAATTTAGTGTTCACATTTCTCCTTCCTCCCCAGTCTTTTAATTTACTGGGGTAATTCATCAACTCAAGCAGCTCAATACACTGCACCTTCGCAAAGCAGAAGATCAATAGCCAAGGGCCACCCTCCTCAGCCCTGCGCTCGGTAACAGAAAGGAAGAACAACAAAAATCTTCCATCAGATACACAAATCCGAGGTTCATCTGCCTGAAAGTCAAACAAAACCCACGTGTCTGGAGGGGCTGGACCAGCAGCACAGACAGGGAAGCTGATGTACCCATACGATAGCAAATTTGGAGAGAAAAACCCACGGGACTAGGAGACAGGGCTCTCATGAAGGCACGTCTTATTCCAGACCCTGTCTTAAGTTTTGCAAAAAACTCCCATGTTGCGTTTTTCTTCCCCAGAAATGCAAACTTCAGGGCTAAAATTCCTGAGTATTTGCCCAAAATAAAGTCCACACACAGTACTTTTGGGGTATGATGCAACAGGACAGCAGTGGGGATTACAGGTAGGTGGGCAATGTGCTGCTGCTGGCTAGTAGGTACAGCACAACTAATCTGGGTATCAGATGCAGTCTTGGCCCAGAATTACCATCATTATTTACTGCATCAGCCAAAAAACCTCCTTGATGGGTAGTAGAGAAGTCTGCTGCAAGCTCCGGTAGCCAAATAGACTCAGACCTATCTCACCATAGCACTGTGCAGTGCAGTAATCTAAATTTAAATAGCCCGCTGAGTATGATCCAAGACAGTGCAGACCTTATTGCTGTTGGGTTAAAGGGATTTATAACACATGCAGGAGAGTGGAAGGTGCCCAGGGAGCCTCAGATTCACAGTGCTGTCTAGAAAACCTCTGCCTCATCATAAAGGAAAGGCTCCAAAAAAAGCTGCCAGACTCACCCAAAATCCATTGTTTCCCTGCACTGCCCAGAAAAGGAGCCCAGCTGATGCTCAGATTAGATTTCTGAAAATGCAAAGCCAGCTGAAATGAACCCTGGACTTAGTTTAACTTTGTAACTTTATTCAAAAGCCCACAAGAATCAACCCAACTTCAAGTCGCAGACACTTTACTTTGCTTTTAAGGAGAGGACCCTCACCCTGAGCTTCCTTAGGAAGGAGATTTGGTCCTACAGCGATGATGGTATGTATTCCCTCCTCCACCCCAGAGCAATACGGGATTGGAGACGTGGCAAGAAAGCTGGGAGACAACAAATACCTGCCTTGCCTCGTTGCTGTAGAAACCCTGCAAGGACATCCTGCTCTTCAGGTTCTCCGACTCATCTTTTTCAGTTGTTTCCACCACGCGCCCCATCAGTTTAATTGTCGTGGCACCAGTTGCTGTGTATTTAATGCACGGCAATGCCATCTTCTTGACATATCCCCCCCCACTTTTTTTTGGGGGGGGCTGAATATAGCGAATGCCAAAGGGATGCTCGGGGGATGCTGTCGGTCACCTCCCCATGCAATGAGTGCAAGAGCATCCTCCTGATGGACCTCGGGCATGGGCAGTATGATGAACTTCCCACCCCTGCGAGGTTCAAGCTGTGATGCAGAATGATGGTTTATAACAACAACCCCAAGGCGTGGGGGCCATCAGAGGGCTTACAGCGCTCGTGTTGTGGTGTAAGTTGGGTTTTAATGAGCCGGATTTGTATCATGAAGGTTAATGTGGCCTCAGAGAGCCACGGAAGCTCTTGGGCAACTTGGGTGTTGCTTGCTGAGTGACCCATCGCTCAGTATCACCCGTGCCTCATCCAGACATCACTCCAGAAAGCCTCCTCCGTATCCCTCCTGACAACACAGCAATTAATGCCATGAGCCAATCCGACTAGGAGAAGCTTAAATTTCAAAGTATTTTACACTTAAAATGACTTGGAATTTATTGATAACTGCAGTTACAAGGGGAAAAATAGCCGAGCAAGCATCTTTCTGCATCAAAGTGTAATGGGGTCAGAAGCTGCATCGATTCAGCTGGCGTCTCGGTCAGAAAGAAACAGCTCAGAGCAAGGTCTTCCTGTGTAACTGAGAGGGAAGAAGCTGAAGAGTTATTTTTTTTTAAGTCCCGAACCCTCCAAGAAGGAGCAAACTATGTCCAGGAGGACCAAGCAGCATCAGCTTTACCCAGACCTGAGGCTTTGGGGTAACACAGCAACAGCAATTCAAATTCCCACTCCTCGGCGAGGTTTTGGAGACCTGGCCCAAGCCTACCCTAGAAGAGCGAGAGTAAGGCACTTGGAAGCAGCTCTACAGAACTTGAGGTGCTCTGCTCCCCAAATCTCTCACGCCCTCGGTGATTGCTTTGGTATGCTGGCATTCCAGATCCAAACATGTCCAAGAACCCAAATCCCTCCCATTAGTGCACAATCCCACAAAGAAGACGATTCCATCTCATTCCCACCTTTAAAATAAATAAATAAATAAATAATTTAAATTAATCATAGAAT